GAGTCCTTTGTCCCACCCTGGTCATTCCACAGATATATAAACCCTTTTTCCTAGTTCCAACAGACCTCACTACCTCTGAGGATGCTTGCCATAGATGCAGGCAAAACGTCAGGAGAGAATGCCTCTAGACCATGGCCATATAGCCCGAAAAAACCTACAACAACCCAGTGATTCTGGCCATGAAAGCCTTCGACAATACAATAATTGTTTTTTTTTTCCAATTGGAAAAAAAACTGCCAGAAAGGGGAATAAATTATGAAAAGCAAAAGTTTGGGGTTAGATTGATGCAATCAGCCTAGCAATTGAAAACGTCAATCTGTTGGAAATTATTTATTTACGACATTTATATGGAAATGGAAGAGTAGTGTGTGTTTGTGCGCGCGAATGCACTACAATTGCCAAAGTGAGACTTCAGGATAGTTCTTGTGCCTTTAATGATTGTGTAAAAGGCACGCAATAACAATCTGGTAACAAAAGACACCTGCTGAACTTCCCTCTTCTACGCAACTATTTTTACACTAAATTAACGTATTGTATATTCATCCAGTCCCATCTCCTGTTTGGGACTGACTGGTTCAGTGGTTCCCAAACTGTGGGCTTCAGCCCACTGGTGGGTCACGGGACCCAAAATAAGGTCCGTGGCTCTAGATTATTAAATATGGTTTTCTGTGGGGGAGCAGATAGTGACTACTGGATGACATATGTTCTTATCAGAGACCAGAGCTGATGTGGTCTATCCAATGCAATTTTCTGAATCGGAACCCCAAATAACCAAACTGAATCTAAAGTTGACCAAAAATTGATCCGTAAACCTTTTGGTGCTCATGTTGGAGAGTGTTCCCTGGTCAAAAAAAGGTTGGGAACCACTGCCTTATACAAATTTTCCAGCAGTGTAAATGCTTACACAAATGCCGTGGATGTTCCTCCTGAATTTCTGCTCTGCACCGTCTGTATTCTGACCAGATGCAGAGCCGTTTATTTGTTTGTTTGTTTACTGCATATATATGCCGCCCTTCTCACCCCAAAGGGGACTCAGAGTGGCTTACAAGATATATTTTCACACAATATATTATATTATTAGCATAGTACAATATCAGTATTATATATTACTAGCCGTCCCCTGCCACGCGTTGCTGTAGCCCTCATGGGGGTTCTGTGTGGGAGGCTTGGCCCAATTCTATCGTTGGTGGGATTCAGAATGCTCTGTGATTGTAGGTGAACTATACATCCCAGCAGCTACAACTCCCAAATGTCAAGGTCTATTTTCCCCAAACTCCAACAGTGTTCACATTTGGGCATATTGAGTATCCGTGTAGATCCATCATTGTTTGAGTCCACAGTGACCTGGATGTAGGTGAACTACAACTCCAAAACCAAAGGACACTCCCCTCCAAACCCTTCCAGTATTTTATGTTGGTCGTGGGAGAACTGTGTGCCAAATTTGGCCCAGTTCTATCGTTGGTGGGGTTCAGAATGCTCTTTGATTGTAGGTGAACGATAAATCCCAGCAAATTCGACTCCCAAATGACAAAATCAATTTTTTTGAGTGAAGGACATACATTGGATTAGGTTCTTGTGGGTTTTTTCGGGCTATAGAGCCATGTTCTAGAGGCATTTCTCCTGACGTTTCGCCTGCATCTATGGCAAGCATCCTCAGAGGTAGAGGTCTGTTGGAATTAGGACAATGGGTTTATATATCTGTGGAATGGCTGGGGTGGGGCAAGGAGCTCTTCCCTGCTGCAATTAGGTGTGAATGTTTCAGCTGATCACCTTCATTAGCATTTGAAGGTCTGCCTGAGCCTGGGAAAATCTCTTGCTGGGAGGTGTTAATCTGTGCCTGGTTGTTTCCTCTCTGTTGTTTTGCTGTTGTAATTTTAGAGTTTTTTTAATACTGGTAGCCAGATTTTGTTCATTTTCATGGTTTCTTCCTTTCTGTTGAAATTGTCCACATGCTTGTGGATTTCAATGGCTTCTCTGTGTAGTCTGACATGGTGGTTGTGAGAGTGGTCCAGCATTTCTGTGTTCTCAAATAATATTTATTTATTTATTTATTTCATCTACTTATACCCCGCCCTTCTCACCCCGGGGGGGACTCAGGGCGGCTTACAAAGGAGGCACAATTAGATGCCCAAATCACACAACAAACAATACAAAATATAACAGTTCAACAATTAAAATGAAACATCAATACCTATTAAAATCATAAAAACTATCTCATGTCAGAGTCCATATATCAGAGTCCATATATCCATTCCATTCCATTGTCCTTGTCTATCGATAGGTCCTTTAATCAGTTGTCAGCATGGCCAAAAGCTTGGTCCCACATCCAGGTCTTTAGTTTTTTCCTAAACGCTAGAAGGGAAGTCGTCGATCTGATCTCCCCGGGGAGTGAGTTCCACAGGTGGGGGGCCACCACTGAGAAGGCCCTGCTCTTCGTCCCCGCCAGTTTCACTTGTGCCAGTGGTCGAGAGCAGGGCCTCCCCAGAAGATCTTAGACTCCGAGGTGGGACATAGAGGGAGATCTGTTCGGACAGATACACTGGGCCGGAACCGTATAGGGTTTGGTAGGTCAAAACCAGCACTTTGAATTGTGCTCGGAATTGGATCGGCAGCCAGTGGAGCTGACGCAACAGGGGGGTGGTGTGCTCCCTGTACGCCGCTCCGGTGAGCAATCTGGCTGCTTCTCGCTGGACTAGTTGAAGTTTCCGAGCAGTCTTCAAAGGCAACCCCACGTAGAGTGCGTTGCAGTAATACAGGGATGTGACAAGAGCGTGGACCACCGTGGCCAGATCCGACTTCCCAAGGTACGGACGCAGCTGGCGCACAAGTTTTAATTGTGCAAAAGCTCTCCCGGCCACCGCTGAGACCTGGGGTTCCAGGCTCAGCGATGAGTCCAGGATCACTCCCAAGCTGCGAACCTGCGTCTTCAGGGGGAGTGTAACCCCGTCTAACACAGGCTGTAACCCTATACCCTGTTCGGCCTTACGACTGACCAGTAGGACCTCTGTCTTGTCTGGATTCAATTTCAATTTGTTAGCTTTCATCCAGTCCGATACAGCGGCTAAACACCGGTTCAAGGTCTGGACAGCCTCCTTGGTGACAGGTGAGAAGGAGTGACAGATTTGGACATCATCTGCATAGAGATAACATCTTAGTCCGAAACTCCGAATGATCTCTCCCAGCAGCTTCATGTAGATGTTAAATAACATCGGGGACAAGATAGAACCCTGTGGGACTCCACACAACAACGGTTGTGGGGCCGAACAGGTGTCACCCAGTAACACCTTCTGGGTCCGTCCCTCAAGGAAGGATCGAAGCCACCGCAGAGCAGTGCCTCCAAGCCCCATATCCATGAGGCAACCCAGAAGGATACCGTGATCGACGGTATCGAAGGCCGCTGAGAGGTCCAGCAGAACTAACAGGGACACACTCCCCCTGTCAGCTCCCTGCGAAGATCATCTACCAAGGCGACCAAGGCTGTCTCAGTTCCATGTCCCGGCCTAAAGCCAGACTGTGCCGGATCTAGATAATCAGTGTCTACCAGAAACCCCTGGAGTTGTGTTGCCACCACACGTTCCATGACTTTGCCCAATAGGGGAGATTGGAAACTGGCCGATAGTTGTCGAATTGAGTGGGATCCAGTGATGGTTTCTTCAACAGCGGTTTTATAATAGCTTGTTTTAAGCTCGCTGGAAATTTTCCTTCCTGTAAGGAGGCATTAACCATCACCTTCACCCACTCTGCCAAACCCCCTCTGGCTTCCTTGATCAGCCAGGAAGGGCAGGGGTCTAGGATGCATGTGGTGGGTCGCACCTCTCCAAGGATCCTGTCCACATCCTCAAGCTGAACCAATTGAAACGAATCCAACAAAACTGGACAAGCAGATGCTCTCGTTACATCCCCAGAGACTGCCGTTAACATGACACTGTGTCCAGGCTGGTTCATCAGGTGCTCTGCTATGGCTGACTTCTCTGGTTGAAACATTCACACCTAACTGCAGCAGGGAAGAGCTCCTTGCCCCACCTCAGCCATTCCACAGATATATAAACCCATTGTCCTAATTCCAACAGACCTCACTACCTCTGAGGATGCTTGCCATAGATGCAGGCGAAACGTCAGGAGAAATGCCTCTAGAACATGGCTCTATAGCCCGAAAAAACCCACAAGAACCTAGTGATTCCAGGCATGAAAGCCTTCGACAATACATACATTGGATTGTTAGGTGTCTTGTGTCCAAATTTGGTGTCAATTCGTCCAGTGGTTTTTGAGTTCTGTAAATCCCACAAACAAACATTACATTTTTATTTATATAGATATTGCACTATACCATTATATTGTAATATTATTAGTAATATTACATGTAATGTAAATATATAATTATAATATTGTATTATTATTACTAGTATTATATTGTATTACATTATAACATTATAAATATTATATGTATATACAATATACTATAGTATATTATTAGTAAAGCAGTGGAACTCTCTGCCCCCTAGTGTGGTGGAGGCTCCTTCTTTGGAAGCTTTTAAACAGAGGCTGGGTGGCCATCTGTCAGGGGTGATTTGAATGCAATATTCCTGCTTCTTGGCAGGGGGTTGGACTGGATGGCCCATGAGGTCTCTTCCAACTCTTTGATTCTATGATTCTAAGACAAGATGGAACTGTCTTCTGCTCCCCGCTGTCTTCATTCTGGGCAGAGCAGCAGTTTTAGCACCAATTTTGGAATTTTATCTAATTTTTAAATACATGTTTTCCACATGAATGCTTGTTATAGCACACATTAGGGCTGTGCATTTTCTAGCCACCCCCGCCCCCTATAATCCCCATCATTCTGGATTTTACAGTATGTGTAAATGGGGCCTCCGATCTGTTACCAGCTCCATCTGAGAATGCACAACTTTGGTTTAAGAGAAGGATGAAATTCCTCAACTATTCCATTCCCACAAAACCCAATGCAACCTTCAGATATTCGTCCCAAAGGAAAAGAACAGTCCTTTGTCGTTTCTCCACTTTATTGTCCACAAAAGGTTGTTCAGATGCATAATACTGTTACAATGACACCGAGCTCAAGGCGGTCCCAGCCATCGCACACGCATACATACAGAAACAGCCGAAACCCCCAAAAAGCACAGTGTGTTGGACAACGGCAGTTGTTGAGTGGCTAACCAGGTGTGTGCCTCTGCACACAAACACAAATACTTTCTCTCTCGCACACACACACAAACACACACGCATACAAATTATGCAGGTATCCCGGCTTGGGACCAACCGTGGGAGATTAAATTAGAGATCTAGATGCTTCCCATTGGTGATAACGGACACACACGCTTGCACACAGACCCCCAACCGGGCACAAGGGCCCCATCCTCCCTTGCCGAGCCCTCCTCCAATAAACAAGGACCCCAAAGGCATTTCCCGCAAACACATGTGGGATGGGGAGGGGAGACGAGCGGCGCCACCGCTGTGTCCGCTGGTGGCATCCCGTCTGCTAACACTGAGGTTTATATACACTATTCACATCCTTTGTACCCAGCCAGTTAAATAGCTATGCGATTATATAGCCTCGTGGGATGAGCTATGGGCGAGGGTGGTGGGGGAGAGGTCAGTCTGATAAGGTGCATATTAAAAAAATAACCGCCGCCGCCATAAAACGAGAACAGTAAAAGAACGAGAGAGTCTGTGGGGCTGGGCCACTCCCTGCCTGGCTTCCTGCGGGGTCCTCGGTCCACGCAGTGCAGGGAGTGGAGGAGTCGTCATCATCTTCTGGTTACAGCTAGCCTGGAGTTGGCACGTCGTGGCATCTCTTTTACAGGGAGGAGGAAGAGGAGGAGGAGGAACGTGGCATCAAGGCTTAGAGAACCTCTACAAGGAGGAAATAAGAGAAAGGGGAGATCAGAGACTGGAAGGCGTGCCTCCTTCCTCCAAATAAACATTGGCTTATTATTTTTCCTGTGACAAAGTATGCGGGTGTGTTCAGGAACATCTGGAGAACAACAACAACAACGTCATCAGACTCCTCAACCTCTGAGGATGCCATGGAGAGAATGCTTCTTGAACATGGCCATACAGCCCAGAAAACTTACATCAACCCAACGTCACCATCACCACCACCACCACCTGGAGCAGCATTTCTCAACCTGGGGGTCGGGAGGGGGTGTCAGAGGTGTCTCCAAAGACCATCAGAAAACACAGTATTTTCTGTTGGTCATGGGGGTTCTGTGTGGGAAGTTTGGCCCAATTCTATAGTTGGTGGGGTTCAGAATGCTCTTTGATTGTAGGTGAACTATAAATCCCAGCAACTACAACTCCCAAATGTCAAAGTCTGTTTACCCCAATCTCCACCAGTATTCACATTTGGGCATTTGAGGATTCATGCCAAGTTTGGTCCTGATCCATCATTGGATGCGGAACAATGGCTTCAAATTACAAGAAAGGAGATTCCATCTGAATATTAGGAAGAACTTCCTGACTGTGAGAGCCATTCAGCAGTGGAACTGTGCGGTGGAGGCTCCTTCTTTGGAAGCTTTTAAACAGAGGCTGGATGGCCATCTGTCAGTGGTGTTTTGAATACAATATTCCTGCTTCTTGGCAGGGGGTTGGACTGGATGTCCCATGAGGTCTCTTCCAACTCTATGATTCTATGATTGTTTGAGTCAACAGTGCTTTCTGGATGTAGGTGAACTACAACTCCAAAACTCAAGGTCAATGCCCTTCCAGTACTTTCTGTTGGCCATGGGAGTTCTGTGTGCCAAGTTTGGTTCCATTCCATTGTTGGTGGAGTTCAGAGTGCTCATTGATTGCAAGTGAACTATAAAACCTTTGGAGGGAGTTGAAAATGCATGTTGCCCAGTAACAGCCCCAAAACATCACTGCTCCTGAGGAGATCTGCATGGAGGAATGGGCCAACATACCAGCAACAGTGTGTGCCAACCTTGTGAGGTCTTACAGAAAACGTTTGACTTCTCTCATTGCCAATAAAGGATATATAACAAAGTATTGAGATGAACTTTTGTTATGGTCCAAATACCATATATTTGTACTAGGTGACTTTTTTACCCTCGAAAATCCTTGCTGAATTTGGGGGTCGTCCAGTATGCCGGATATAAAAATTCACTTCCTGTTTTGGGTCAAGGCGAGGGAGGCGGGCCCCTCGCTCTCGCTCTCTTCCCTCGTGCCCGCTGCCTCTGCGGGCTTGATGGCTATCCCCCCCTGCCTGCTTCTCTCCAAAGTCACTCTCTATCTCTCCTGAGGAGATGGAACCTCTGTGTGTGCGTGTGTACCAGTTCCGTTGTACCAGTTCAAACTTCCGGGCCGTCTTCAAGGGTAGCCCCATGTAGAGCACATTGCAATAGTCCAGTTTGGATGTAACCAAGGCGTGGACCACTCTGGCAAAGTCAGACTTCACGAAGTATGGTCGTAGCTGGCGCACAAGTTTGAATTGTGCAAAGGTCCTCCCGGCCACCGCTGACATCTGAGCATCAAGCGACAGCGTTGAATCCAGGAGGACCCCCAAGCTACAGACCTGCACCTTCAGGGGGAGTGTAACCCCGTCGGGCACAGGTTGCCACCCAATACCCCAGTCAGCCCCAAGACTGACCAGGAGAACATATGTCTTGTCTGGATTAAGCTTCAACCTGTTAGTCCTCATCCAGTCCATCACAGCTGGTTCAGGGTCTGGGAGGCTTCCTTGGAATTTGGTGGAAATGAGTAGTAGCGTTGGGTGTCACCTGCATACAGATGGCACCCAACTCCAAAACTCTGGATAACCTCACCCAGCGGTTTCATGTAGATATTGAAAAGCATGGGAGATAGAATGGAACCTTGCGGGACCCCACAGGTCAAAGGCCACTGGTCCGAGCAGGTATCCCCCAGCTTCACCAACTGGGAGCGACCCTCCATGAAGGAGCGGAGCCACTGCAGTGCAATACCCCCGAGACCCATTCCGGAGAGCCACCCCAGAAGGATACCATGGTCGATGGTATCGAATGCCGCTGAGATATCCAGGAGAACCAACAGGGACACACTCCCCCTGTCAAGCTCTCTTCGGAGGTCATCCACCAAGGTAACCAAAGCAGTCTCAGTACCATGACCAGGTCTAAAACCAGACTGCGATGGATCTAGATAGTCGGTGTCATCCAGGAATCCCTGGAGGAGGGAGGTTACGCGTTATCTATCCACTCCCCCACTCCTCCATTAAGTTTGCCCAGGCTTTGAGGCTTTATGGATTCCTGAGTTAGCGTTTACTTTAACTTAGCAGCAAAGAGAATAGAGGAAGATTCTCTACTGACACCTAAAGGCGCATAGCTGTAACTGCAACTCAGGAAATCTTTTTTATTATTTTGACCCAAAACAGTAATGAGCACGCGGTTGGCTGGCTGTGGCGGGGCCTGGCTGCCGGTGGAGGGGAGGCCGCCTCTATGGAGCCAAGAAGCTGCCTCAAAGCCCAGGAAAGGAGGCTTTGGGGCCTGAAGGGGCTGGCAAGAGGGGGGTCGTCCAATAGGGTGAGTATATCCAAAAATTGAAATTGTTAATTGAAAAGTTGGGGGGGGGGGTCGTCTAATGCGCCCAGTCGCCTAGCACCCCGGAATATACGGTACTTATTTTCCACCATAATTTGCAAATAAATTGATTAAAAACCAGACAATGTGATTTACTGGATGTGTTTTCTCATGTTGTCTCTCATAGTTGAGGTCTCCCTATGATATAAATTACAGGCCTCTTCATCTTTTTAAGTGGGAGAACTTGTACAATTGGTATCTGACTAAATACTCCCCCCCTCCACACTGTATGTATTTTGTTGCATGTTTTTTTACGTCGAAGTGTTTTGGCTGTGTGGTACTGTACCTCGAGTCATAAGCAGAGGTAAGTAACAATTTATTTATTTTTCTCATGTCAGGAGTGACTTGAGAAACTGCAAGTCGCTTCTGGTACAAATTAAATGTATGATGATGATGATGACTTAAAACTACACTTAAAAAACTACTTGGTGCCCCCCAAATCCCTCACACATTATCCCAAATAGCCTGCCTCTGCCTGATAGCAGAGGTACATTTTCACAAGTGAAAATGTAGTTCCTTTCTGCTTCTGAATCTGCGCTGGTTTGAGACAGAGGTGTCATCATAAGATCCATGCACTTTCCAGGCAGATGAGCAGCTCATGGAGATCCAAGCCATGGACAAGGGGGGCGCGCACACAGGTTTGTCTTACCTGTAATCTGTGGTGCCTTTGCCACAGCCTTGGTGAGGAAAGGCTCCTTGTTGGCAAAAGGCAAGATAGGCTCACCAGCCATGCCCAGCCCGGGGCTTGTGGAGTGCTCCCGCCCGCCGGTCTCCTTGGGAGAAGAGAAGCCATTCTCATGCTTGGCTGATTGCAGGCCGTTCACCAGGGACAGAGCGGAGGTGGCGGGAGAGCTGCGGTAGAGAGAAGAGGGCAGAATTAAAACACAGAGCTGGGATAGTTTGTGGGTCAGAATTGTAAAAGGATCTTGTAGCACCTTGGAGACTAACTGAGAGAATGACTCATAGAGTTGGAAGAAACTACAATGGCCAGCACAGAAATATGGAATAAATCACAAGGAACATCCAGTCCAACCCCCTTATCTTTCACAGACTGAAGTAATAATGATAATGATAATAATAATAATAATAATAATAATAATAGGGTTTAAAAATCAAACTGCAAAGACTCTGGCACAAGCCAGTCAAGTTGGTCTCAGTGAGTGCAGTGCCTAAAGACCTTGGCCTGCACTTAAACACAATTGGTGCTGATAAAATTACCATCTGCCAGCTGCAGAAGGCCACCTTACTGGCATCTGCACTCATTATTCGCCAATACATCACACAGTCATAGACACTTGGGAAGTGTCTGACGTGTGATCCAATACAATAGCCAGCAGAGTGATCTTGTCTGCTGTGGACTCATCTTGTTGCATTTCAAATAATAATAATAATAATAATAATAATAATAATAATAATAATAATGAAAAAAGTCTGGATTATTGATGTTGCCATACCGGGTGACAGTCGCATTGAGGAAAAACAACAGGAAAAACTCAGCCGCTATCAAGACCTCAAAATCGAACTGCAAAGGCTCTGGCATAAACCAGCACAGGTGGTCCCAGTGGTCATTGGCACAATGGGTGCTGTGCCAAAAGATCTCAGACGGCATTTGGAAACAATAAACATTGACAAAATCACGATCTGTCAACTGCAAAAGGCCACCTTACTTGGATCTTACTTGGATACCAAGGAGCTTGTCTATAAAGCTATTGTCCTCCCAACCCTGCTATACGCCTGCGAGACATGGACAGTCGACAGACGTCACATGCAGCTCCTGGAACGATTCCATCAGCGCTGCCTCCGGAAAATCCTGCAAATCTCTTGGGAAGACAGGCGGACAAACGTCAGCGTGCTGGAAGAAGCAAAGACGACCAGCATTGAAGCGATGGTCCTCCGCGATCAACTCCGCTGGACCAGCCACATAGTCTGGATGCCCGACCACCGTCTCCCAAAGCAGTTGCTCTACTCCAAACTCAAGAACAAACGGAATGTTGGTGGACAGGAAAAGAGATTTAAAGATGGGCTCAAAGCCAACCTTAAAACTCTGGCATAGACACTGAGAACTGGGAAGCCCTGGCCCTTGACGCTCCAGCTGGAGGTCAGCTGTGACCAGCAGTGCTGCAGAATTTGAAGAGGCACGAATGGAGGGTGAAAGGGAGAAGTGTGCCAAGAGGAGGGTGTGTCAAGCCAACCCCGACCGAGACCGCCTTCCACCTGGAAACCAATGCCCTCACTGCGGAAGAAGATGCAGAGAAAGAATAGGGCTCCACAGCCACATACGGACCCACAAGAACACTGGAAGACAATCATCCTCGGAAAACGAGGGATCGCCTAAGTAACTAAGTAAGTCAACCCATGCAAATTCCTTCCCCTTCCCCTTTTCTGATTTTTCCTATGACTGCAAAGAGATTGTTCCCATGTCACTCCATCCATTATCTATCCCAATGGAGGGATCAGCACAGATTGAGCAGCTTTGGGATCAATACCTGTGTTGCGTCCCCTCTGGAGCCGTGCCTTTGTGACCTGCTGGACTTGAAGCCTGCATCTCAGGCAGTTCTTCTTCCTTTGGGAGGCTTCCAGGGCGTTTTTCTCCTCCTGCAAAACAAAGGAAAAGGAGCAATTAAGGATAAGACAAGAATCCTTTCCAACCAAGCAAGGTTTTGGAGAAATGAAGAAATCTCCCTGATGGATCAATGGTTCTTGAAATTAATGGAGATTTTATTTATTTATCGTGTCATCAGCAACCATACCATTGTATTACATTTCTAACAGAACAAAACAAACAAACAGATAAAAAAACACAAATTTTGCAAATTTGGTAGTTGATTAAATGTCCTTTGACCAGTATCTGGCCACTTGGAGTGCCTCTGGTGTTGCCGCAAGAAGGTCCTCCATTGTGCATGTAGCAGGGCTCAGGTTGCATTGCAGCAGGTGGTCAGTGGTTTGCTCTTCTCCACACTCGCATGTCGTGGATTCCACTTTGTAGGCCCCATTTCTTAAGGTTGGCTCTGCATCTCGTGGTGCCAGAGCGCAGTCTGTTCAGCGCCTTCCAAGTCGCCCAGTCTTCTGTGTGCCCAGGGGGAGTCTCTCATCTGGTATCACCCATGGATTGAGGTGCTGGGTTTGAGCTTGCCACTTTTGGACTCTCGCTTGCTGAGGGGTTCCAGCAAGTGTCTCTGTAGATCTAAGAAAACAATTTCTTGATTTAAGTCGTTGACATGCTGGCTGATACCCAAACAGGGGATGAGCTGGAGATGTCTCATGCACCAGTAAGGCCTTTGAACCACCATGAGAATTTCGGGGGGGGGGTGCTGAAGCCCCCCAGGCCCCCCCCCCCCCGGCTACATGCCTGGCTGGAGATGTCTCTGCCTTGGTCCTTTCACTATTGGCTGCTACTTCCCGGCGGATGTCAGGTGGTGCAATACCGGCTAAGCAGTGTAATTTCTCCAGTGGTGTAGGGCGCAGACACCCTGTGATAATGCGGCTTGTCTCATTAAGAGCCACATCCACTGTTTTAGTGTGGTGAGATGTGTTCCACACTGGGCATTAATGGAGATGATGAATACAGAAAGATTAACCAATATAATGACAACATACCAACAAAGAAGGAAACCAAAAATAGACTGGACAATGGTTAAAGAATATCATAGAAAAGAAAATATAAAAATATTGATCTCATCAGGCTAAGGATAACCTGGGTAGAAAACTTTTGATATAAAAATTTGCTGTTTAGGAACAAAAACAACAGTTAAGAATGGTTCAGTGGAGAAAATTCTAGAAAAAACCCCCCAGCATTAAGTACAGTATAAATTTACTTTTGGACAACATCACCAACATGTAGTAAGAAGTCAAACTGTAAACAAAGAATGGACTCTATATGTATGTAATTAACTTTATTATTGTATTGTCGAAGGCTTTCATGGAATCACTGGGTTGTTGTAGGTTTTTCCGGGCTATATGGCCATGTTCTAGAGGCATTTTCAAACAATCAGGCACATCAAATCACTCTCAACAAAAGATTCCCCCCAGGCACTTCCAAGCCATTAAATGCTAATCAAGGTGGTCAGTTGAAACCTTCACACCTAGCTCCAGCAGACAAAAGTCCTTTGTCCCACCCTGGTCATTCCACAGATATATAAACCCGTTTTCCTACTTCCAACAGACCTCACTACCTCTGAGGTTGCTTGCCATAGATGCAGGCGAAACGTCAGGAGAAAATGCCTCTAGAACATGGCCATATAGCCCGGAAAAACCTACAACAACCCAACTTTATTATTATTATTATTATTATTATTATTATTATTATTTTATTTTTTCTTTCCCTGTCTCCTCTTCTTTTTCCCACTTTCCTATCCAACTTACTATGTTCACTTACTTTCCTTGTTATTATATACCTTCAATAAAAATTATTGCAAAGAGTGCCAATTGTTCGTCTGTTGTCCCACTTTCTCGGTTGCTTAAAAACACCCGAGTTTCCTCCTCCCACTTTCCATCTTTGTTTTCAACTTACTTCAGTTGCTGTAAACTAAGTTTAAAGTACTTCGAACTCAATTTTTGATGTTTTAATGATTGTTCTACTGTTTATGGATGTATTTTAATTTGATTTATGTCTAACTGTAATAGTATAATTGTAATTGTTTGTGCTGGCATTGAATTTTGCCATTACCTATGTGGAAACCGCTTTGAGTCCCCTTTCGGTGTGAGAAAAGCGATATACAAATACTGTAAATAAATAAATAATAATAATTAAAGCGGGATGAAAGAGGAGGTGATGGAGAGAGGGCCGGGCTGTAGCACAGCTGGCTAATCACCAGCTGTGATTACTGCCAACTGGAAGGTGGCAAGTTGAAAGCCCGAGTCAGATTGAGCACCCGACCATCAGCTTAAGCTCACTGTTCACCTAAGAAGTTCAAAAACAGCTGAGTTGTGAGTAGAGAAATTAGGCACTGCTTTAGCAGGGAGGTATTTTACGACACCACAAAAGAACAAGGAGGGAATTTCTATGATCAAAAAGGGCTCGTCGTCACAGCGATGGAGCGACAACATTGGAATTGGCGGCGGCTGGGAGGGCCTTTGCACAATTAAGACCCGTGCGCCAACTGCGACCGTACCTCGTGAAGGCAGATCTGGCCAGGGTGGTCCACGCCTTAGTCACTTCCAGACTGGACTACTGTAATGCACTCTATGTGGGGCTGCCCTTGAAAACGGCCCGGAAATTCCAATTGGTCCAGTGGGCGGCAGCCAGGTTGTTAACTGGAGCTCCTTACAGAGAGAGGTCAACCCTCCTGTTTAAGGAGCTCCACTGGCTGCCATTCATTTTCCGGTCCCAATTCAAGATGCAGGTGCTTACCTACAAAGCCCTAAACGGCTTGGGACCCGCCTACCTGCGTGACTACATCTCTGTGTACGAACCCACACGATCTCTTCGTTCATCTGGAGAGGCCCTGCTCACGATCCCACCGCCATCGCAAGCGCGATTGGTGGGGACGAGGGATAGGGCTTTCTCGGTGGTGGCCCCTCAACTCTGGAACTCTCTCCCTAAGGACATCAGGCAGGCCCCATCGCTAGCAATCTTTAGGAGGAGCTTGAAAACGTGGTTGTTCCAGTGTGCCTTTCCAGAATAAGGAAACTCCTAGCATTATGTCCCAACGCACTTTATCAGAGATTCTGGATATCTGCATGCCCATCCCCCTCCAAACTCCCCACCTTGCCATGCCCAGCACTTTTAATTTTTAATTATTACATTTGGCCCGGCCATTGGGTGTTGTTAATGTTATTGCTTTGTTTTTTTGAGTTATTGCATTGTTGTTGCATCACTGGAGGGAAGGATACTAGAGACAAAGTTGAAGTACTTTGGCCACATCATGAGAAGACAGCAAAGCCTAGAGAAGACAATTATGCTGGGGAAAGTGGAAGGCAAAAGGAAGAGGGGCCGACCAAGGGCAAAATGGATGGATGGCATCCTTGAAGTGACTGGACTGACCTTGAAGGAGCTGGGGGTGGTGATGGCCGACAGGGAGCTCTGGCGTGGGCTGGTCCATGAGGTCACGAAGAGTCGGAGACGACTGAATGAATGAACAACAACAATTGTTGTTGTTGCTGTTGTTTTTATTGTTGTATTTGGGCTCGGCCTCTTGTAAGCTGCACCGAGTCCTTTGGGAGATGGTAGCGGGGTACAAATAAAGGCATTATTATTATTATTATTATTATTATTATTATTATTATTATTAATTGAGTATAACCTCCAGGCGCCAAAGTTGGAACAATTCCAAAATACCTCTATCTGTCTGTCTGTCTGTCTTGTATTTCTAAAACGCCATTGAATGTTTGCTTTGTACGTGTGCATTGTCACCAGCCCTGAGTCCCCTTTGGGGTGAGAAGGATGGAATATAAATAAACAAACAAACAAACAAATAAATGTAAATAAATACTACCTTTCCCAGTCAGCTTAGGCAAAAGCAAACTGCTGCAGCTTCTTCTAGCTTGCATGTTCTTCCTTAACTTTATGTCATTTTGACTACACTCTAAGGTTGATTGGAGACATGGGTTTTGATTTTTGAAAAATGGAGGGCATGTTTTTGCAGTCCAAAGTTGGCAATTCAAGAGTAGGAAGCAACACAAGGAGGAGCAGGAGGAGCCACCAACAAATATTTGTGCATTGCAGTTCCCATCACTCCTCAGCATTGGCTTTGCCACCTAGGATTTGTGGAAGTTACAATCCTACCTCTGATGAAGTATCCTTCAGTTACTACTGCAGTAGGTGGTGGAAGGCAGTGATATGTAATGTGGTTTAGTAGACGACACTGGGTATAAATGGTAAAGCTAGATTAGAGAGATGGGCCAAAACAAACAAAATGAAGTTCAACAGTGACAAATGCAAAATACTCCACTTTGGCAGGAAAAACGAAATGCAAAGATACAGAATGGGGGATGCCTGGCTTGAGAGCAGTACGTGTGAAAAAGATCTTGGAGTCCTCGTGGACAACAAGTTAAACATAATCCAACAATGTGATGTGGCAGCAAAAAAAGCCAATGGGATTTTGGCCTGCATCAATAGGAGCATAGTGTCCAGATCCAGGGAAGTAATGCTACCCCTCTATTCTGCTTTGGTTAGACCACACCTGGAATATTGTGTCCAATTCTGGGCACCACAATTCAAGAGAGATATTGACAAGCTGGAATGTGTCCAGAGGAGAGCGACTAAAATGATAAAAGGTCTGGAGAACAAGCCCTATGAGGAGCGGCTAAAGGAGCTGGGCATGTTTAGCCTGAAGAAGAGAAGGCTGAGAGGAGATATGATAGCCATGTATAAATATGTGAGAGGAAGCCACAGGGAGGAGGGAGCAAGCTTGTTTACTGCTTCCCTGGAGATTAGGACAAGGAACAATGGCTTCAAACTACAAGAAAGGAGATTCCATCTGAACATGAGGAAGAACTTCCTGACTGTGAGAGCCGTTCAGCAGTGGAGCTCTCTGCCCTGGAGTGTGGTGGAGGCTCCTTCTTTGGAAGCTTTTAAACAGAGGCTGGATGGCCATCTGTCAGGGGTGATTTGAATGCAATATTCCTGCTTCTTGGCAGGGGGTTGGACTGGATGGCCCATGAGGTCTCTTCCAACTCTTTGATTCTATGATTCTAAGTAGGTTCCCATTTTTGGAGGCTTTTATGAAATGCTGAACCAAAGGTAGGTGGGTGGGAGGGAGCCATTAAAAGGATGCCAAACATGTCCACTTCTCCCCATTTAGCTACTGGAGTTAGCTACTGATTTTGCCCAAATGCAACCTGGTGAAAAGAGTGTGTGACTTCAGGACAGAGAGGAGACTTTCTTGTTAACAAGACTTTGTGACTTGATCCCTGAACTCAGAATAGCCTGCAATCTTGCCTTTCTGTGGTACCTGAGTCCCAGTTGCAACTGGGGTGATTCTCACCTGTACCCGTTTCAGCTTCTTGTTTCCCTTCCTTCCCATTCACAAGTGTCTTGTCTTCTTTCTTCTGCAAAAACAACAAAAACGATTTTGTCATTTGGGAGTTGTAGAGGCTGGGATTTCCCACACAGAACCCCCATGACCAACAGAAAATACTGGAGGGATTTGGGAGGAACTGACAGTGATTTAGGGGAGATGTAGTTCACCTACAATCGGAGAGCACTGTGAACCCAAACAACGGTGCATATGGACCAAATCTGGCACAAATAGCTGATACACCGAAATTTGAATACTGATTGGGTTAGGATTGATTTTGTCATTTGAGAGTCGTTGTTGCTGGGATTTATAGTTAACCTACAAATGTCTGCTCTCCACTCCCAGTTTGGAGTCTCAGAAACAGCCCTTCCCTTGGCTGAGAGGCCGGCTGGGAGGCTGGCCAATCACAGCAGGAGGAGGGCTTTTGGTGGGAGGTTTCACCAGTTGGTTCCAACAAAGAAGGACAGGCGGAGAGATCTTCAGCCTTCTCTGCCAAAGGGAAGACCATCAGAAATATGTGTTTTCTGATGGTCTTTGGAAACCCATCTGAAACCTCCTCGCGACCCCCACCCCCAGGAATCCTGACCCCCAGGTTGAGAAACTCTGGTCTAGGACTTCATGGGGCAATGGGTTCAAACTGCAAGAAAAGAAATTGCACCTAAACATGAATAAATTGCACCTAAACATGAAGAAGAACTTCCTGAGCTGTTCAAGAGTGGAAGGGGTTGGACTAGATCAGTTGTTCTCAACCTTCCTAATACCACGACCCCTTATTACAGTTCCTCATGTTGTGGTGACCCCCCAACCATAAAATTATTTTCGTTGCTACTTCATAACTGTAATTTTGCTACTGTTTTGCTACTGCCGATTCAATTCCGAGCACAATTCAAAGTGCTGGTTTTAACCTACAAAACCCTATACGGTTCCGGCCCAGTGTATTTGTCCGAACGGATCTCCCTCTACATCCCATCTCGAAATTTAAGATCGTCTGGGGAGGCCCTGCTCTCGACTCCGCCACTATCACAAGTGAGGTTGGCGGGGACGAGAAGCAGGGCCTTCTCAGTGGTGGCCCCTCACCTGTGGAACTCACTCCCCGGGGAGATTAGATCAGCGACCTCCCTTTTGGCGTTCAGGAAAAAACTGAAGACCTGGATATGGGACCAAGCTTTTGGACATTCTGGCAGCTAAGGGAAGATCTGACGATAAACATGGGCGAATGGAATGGAATGGATATACGGAACTCTGAACACTGAGCATGAGATTGTTTTGCTATTTTATTATGTACTAATGTTTTTAACTTGTTAACTGTTTAAATCATTTTTAGGTATTGTTTGTTTATTGATTCAGGCATCGAATTGTGCCATTGTTTGTAAGCCGCCCTGAGTCCCCCCTCGGGGGTGAGAAGGGCGGGGTATAAGTAATTGAAATAAATAAATAAATAATGTAAATATACGATATACAGGATATATTTTCATGCACTGGACCAAATTTGGCACAAATACCCGATACACCCAAATTTGGTGGAGTTAGGGGGATTGCTTTTGTCATTTGGGAGTTATAGTTGCTGAGATTTATAGTTAACTTACAATCAAAGACCATTCTGAACTCGACCAACAATGGAATTGAACCAATCTTGGCACACAGAACACCTCTGACCAAGAGAAAACATTGGAAGCTTTTGGTGGGCATTGACCTTGAGTTTTGGAGTTGTAGTTCACCTACATCCAGAGAGCACTGTGGACTCAAACAATGGTGGATATGGACCAAACTTGGCACAAATAATCAATATGCCCAAATGTGAACACTGGGGGAGCTTGGAAAAAATAGGCCTTGACATTTGGGAGTTGTAGTTGCTGGGATTTATAGTTCACCTACAATCATTGCCCTTGAGTTTGAGAGTTGTCGTTCACCTACATCCAGAGAGAACTGTGGACTCTGGGGTGCTTTGAGTGCAATTTTCCTGCTTCTTGGCAGGGGGTTGGACTGGATGGCCCATGAGGTCTCTTCCAACTCTATGATTCTATGACTCTAACAATAAGAGAGGACCAAACTTGGCCCGAATCCTCAATATGCCCAAATGTGAAAACTGGTGGAGTTTGGGGAAAATAGATCTTGACTTTTGGGAGTTGTAGTTGCTGGGATTTATAGTTCATCTATTATCAAAGACCATTCTGAACCTCACCAACGATAGAATTGGGCCAAACTTCCCACACAGAACCCCCATCACCAACAGAAAATACTATGTTTTTGGATGGTCTTTGGCGACCCCTCTGAAACCCCCTCGTGACCCCCCCAGGGGTCCCGACCCCCCAGGTTGAGAACCACTGCCCTAGGGGGACTCAGGGCGGCTTATACTTACAATCCGTTTAGCTATTGTCAGTCTCGTGGCTATTTATCTAGCCATATACTAATGATTACTCTGCTTAACTTATCCAAATCCATTTTCAAGCCATAGTCAAACATTATCAATTGTCCTTTAGCCTAATTGCCCGAAGGCCTGGTCCCACAACCACGTTTTTACCTTCTTTCTAAAGGTGAGGAGGGATGACGATGACCTAATTTCCCCGGGAAGCGAATTCCACAGGAGGGGGGCTACCACCAAGAAGGCCCTGTCCCTTGTCCCCGCCAAATGTGTTTGAGACTAAGGCAGGGCCGAGAGCAGGGCCTCCCCAGAAGATCTTAAGCTCCGAGGTGGGACGTAGAAGGAGATACGTTTGGACAGGTATGCTGGACCAGAGCCGTATAGGGTTTTATAGGTCAATACAAGCACTTTGAATTGTGCTCAGAATTGGATCGGCGGCCAAATTTCAGACCCCTCTGACACTCCCTCACGACCTCCAGGTTGAGAAACACTGCAGTAGATGGACCCGGAGTCTCTTACAAGTCTGTGATTCTACAATAAGTTGTTCATTTTGCAGAATGTGAGACTGAGATGTTTGCATGTCACCTGCATGACCCTCAGAAATGCACAGGAGCTAAGTGGGTACATTGAGTTAATTGTGTTAATTAATGAATAATGAGGAACTGATATCTGCAATGTTTGCATTTGGGACTGAAACCTATCAGATTTAGCCAGGAGTTGTTTGCCAATCAAACTGTCTGGGAAAAGGACAAAAGGAGTCCGCACCTTGGCATCAGCCCCGTCTGCTTTCCGTGTTCTCTTCATGATCTCCTCCAGCCGCTGCAGGGAAAGGAAACAGGAAAGGGGCTTCAGGACAATGGGTTTCACACACTGCCATTTTGCCAGCCTTAGCAAAGCTGGGCTTCAGTATTTAGACATGGATGCAGGATATGTGTTCTCAAAAGTCCACCCACAAATGTGGAGAGACAGCTGTATTGGCAATGAATAATGAACATCATTTTGACAGTTTATAACTATAGTCTTGAAGGCACCTCCCTGATCTGTCTGGCTCCATAACATATGAGATATCAGGCTTATGAAAAATAATAAATAACTTGAACCACACAGAACAGAATAGGAAGTCTAATACTATTAATATATGTACTTCCTGAATTCACACCAACCATTCATTGCACTGCTAAATCAAGACATAACAGAATTTTTCCATTAGTTACTTCTGTATTTGTCTAGAATAGTGTTTCTCAAACTGTGCTCCCCAAATGTTTTGGACTTCAGCTCCAACAATTCCTAATAGTTGGTAAGCTGGCTGGGATTCCTGGAAGTTGAAGTCCAAAAGTACAGTTTGAGAAACACTAGTCTAGAGTATGAATTGATGGAAAGGCAAAAGATAGATAAGATACATAGTCTACATAGGGACCACCAAACGCAGCGGAGCCCCTGGTGGCACAGAGGGTTAAACCCCTCTGCCAGCAGGACTGAAGACCCACAGGTCGCAGGTTCGAATCTGGGGAGAGTGCGGATCAGCTCCCTCTGTCAGCTCCAGCTCCTCATGTGGGGACATGAGAGAAGCCTCCCACAAGGATGGTAAAAGATCAAAACATCCTGGCGTCCCCTGGGCAACGTCCTTGCAGACGGCCAATTCTCTCACACCAGAAGTGACTTGCAGTTTCTCAAGTTGCTCCTGACACGACAAACAAACGCAAAGAATCCAAGAACATGAAAGGCACTGCAGACTACTTCAACCAGAGAAGTCAGCCATAGCAGAGCACCTGATGAACCAGCCTGGACACAGCATATTATTTGAGAACACAGAAATGCTGGACCACGCCAACAACCACCATGTCAGACTACACAGAGAAGCCATTGAAATCCACAAGCATGTGGACAATTTCAACAGAAAGGAAGAGACCATGAAAATGAACAAAATCTGGCTACCAGTATTAAAAAACTCTAAAATTACAACAGCACAACGACAGAGAGGAAACAAACAAGGACATCTAATCACCTCTCAACAAAAGTTTGCTCCAGGCACTGCCAGGCCATTATATGCTAATCAAGGTGGTCAGTTGAAACATTCACATCTAGCTCCAGCAGACAAGAGTCCTTTGTCTCACCCTGGTCATTGCACAGATATATAAACCCTTTTTCCTAGTTCCAATAGACCTCACTACCTCTGAGGATGCTTGCCATAGATGCAGGTGAAACGTCAGGAGAGAATGCCTCTAGAACATGGCCATATAGCCCGAAAAAACCCATAGATAAGATACACAAAAATCAAGTATGCAGACAACTATGCAATTTCTAGGAATTTTCTAGCTCATCCTGTCAATTCTACTGCATGCTTCCGCCAGAAGTTAAGCATAGAGTTGTGTTGGAGGACCTAACAATTCCAAGAGAGAACATCTTTCGAGGAAATTTCTCCAGGGAAGTTATGGTAACTTCCAGTGGAAGTCATTGATTTCAATAGGGTTTCAATGGGGTTTGTTCTGGTTTTATTGTGAGCTAGTTTGAGTCTCTTTATTAGAGAGATAAAGTGGGATACTAAACTATTACTACTACTACTACTACTACTACTACTACTACTAAAATAATAATATCCGTGTATCCCCCACACATATGAGGACGATACTTTATGGTTATTTCCTGTCATCCATCTATCTATCTATCTATCTATCTATCTATCTATCTATCTATCCATCCATCCATCCATCCATCCATCCATCCATCCATCCATCCATCCATTCCTGCCATGTATCCTATTGCTACACCCCCCCTCCATCTACCTACCTACCTACCTACCTACCTACCGATATATTCATCCTCCAACCTACCTACTTACTTGGATTTCTCTTTCTTCTCATTTATCCATCCTCCATCCTATCTATCTATCTATCTATCTATCTATCTATCTATCTATCTATCTGCTTTTTTGCTTTCTCTTTCTTCTTATCATCTATCTATTCTCATCCTTACAACATTGCCAAGCCAGCATGCAAAGCAACCGTCTGTACATGTTTCCCCTGTCTCAAAGGGCCTGCTTACCTTCTTCCGCTCCAGCCGTTCTTGCTCTTCGCGTTGGAAATGCTTCTCGCGTTCCACCCGCTGGCGCTCCGCTTCCTCGCGTGCGCGGGCCTCTGCCTCCTCCCTCTGCAGTCAAGAAGAAGAAACAAATCATGTATTGCTCTTTGAATGCATTCCCTGCCCTAGTATTGTAGGGCCAGGTGTGTAATATTAAGACAGCTAGGCATGGGTAGGTGCATGCCCTTCCTTCTAGAACAGCGTTTCTCAACCTGGGGGTTGGGGCCTCTGGGAGGGGGGAGTTGCGAGGGGGTATCAGAGGGATGCCAAAGACTATCAGAAAAAAAACAGTATTTTCTGTTGGTCATGGGGATTCTGTGTGGGAAGTTTAGCCAAGTCTATCGTTGGCGGATTCAGAATGCTCTTTGATTGTAGATGAACTATCAATCACAGCAATTACAACTCTTAAATATCAAGGTCTATTTTCCCCAAACTCCACCAATGTTCACATTTGGGCTTATTGAGTATTTCTGCCAAGTTTGATCCAGATCCATCATTGTTTGAATCCAGAGTGCTTTTTTGGATATAGGTGAACTACAACTCCAAAACTCAAGGTCAATGCCCACGAAACCCTTCCAGTATTTTCCATTGGTCATGGGAGTTCTGTGTGCCAAGATTGGTTCCATTCCATTGTTGGTGGAGTTCAGAATGCTCTTTGATTGTAGGTGAACTATAAATCCCAGCAACTACAACTCCTAAATGACAAAATCAATCCCCCCAACCCCGCCAGTATTCAAATTTGAGCATATCGAGTATTTGTGCCAAATTTGGTCCAGTGCATGAAAATACATCCTGCATATCAGATATTTACATTACGATTCATAACAGTAGCAAAATGACTGTTATGAAGGGTCAACAAAAATAATTTTATGGTTGGGGGTCACCACAACATGAGGAACTGTATTAAGGGGTCTCAGCATTAGGAAGGCTGAGAACTACTGTTCTAGAAGAGTGACTTCTGAGACCTCAGACACAATAATTTCCATCCAAGAGAACAACATTGGGTTCCCATCACTAGATGGCAGTGTTTCCCCACCTATAGTTTAAAACAGGGGTCCTCAAACTTTTTAAACAGAGGGCCAGTTCACTGTCCCTCAGACCTTTGGAGGGCCGGACTATAGTTTTTTTTTTTTTTAAACTATGACCAAATTCCTATGCACACTGCACATACCTTATTTTGCTACTGTTATGAATCATAATGTAAATATCTGATATGCAGGATGTATTTTCATTGTTACAAACTGAACATAAAGCATAGTGATTAATCACAAAAACAATATGTAATCATATATTGTGAAATATTTATTTCTAATTACAAATAAATGAAGTTTTGACTTCAAGATTGTCGTAGCAAGAGTAACAGTCTTAATATAACAGCAGGGAACCCATTAATATGTTTACTGATCAGCCTATCAGCCGAACTCCCATGACCAACTGAAAATACTGGAGAGGTTTGGTTAAAATACAATCAAACATGTGGAAGTTGCAGTAAGTCCTGAAATCAAAGAGCATTCTGAATTCCCCAGCAATGAAATTCAACCAAACTTGTCATACAGAACACCCATGACCAATAGATTCATCATAGTTTGTGACTGCCACACAAACAAAGTTTCTGGAGAACAACTACTTTCAAAGTAAGGGCCACACAATTAAACAGGAAATAACACTTTCAAGCCAGGAACAGATTTTTGTTCTCCAATTTGGTTTCAGACTGTGATTCCAGGTGGGAAGCTCTGACCAAAGCAGGAGATTAGAAGAGGAGGGCTTTATTATTATTATTATTATTATTATTATTATTATTATTATTATTATGTTTATTTAAACACCACTTTTTGTCTCCACAAGGAGACTGTGGGCCCTTCCAGACAGGCCCTATATCTCAGGATCTGATCCCAGGTTTTCTTCTTTAAACTGGATTATATAAGTCTGCACTGCCAGATAACCTGGGATAAAGAGAAAACCTAGGATCAGATCCTGGGATATAGGACCTGTCTTGAAGGGACCTCAAAGGGCTCTTCCAAACAGCCATATAACCCAGAATATCAAGGCAGATAATCCACAATATCTGCTTTGAACTGCATTAACAGAGTCCACACTACCATATAAGCCAGTCAAGTGTGGATTTTATACAGCTGTGTGGAAGGGGCCAAAGCAGCTTACATTTCAATACAATTTCAAATCTACAAATATGTGAAACTTTACAATAGAATTAAATATCATTGCTATTCTTTAAAGCAGGCATGGGCCAGCTTGGGCCCTCCTTGTGTTTTGGACTTCAACTCCCAAAATTCCTAACAGCCAGTAGTGCAGTGTTTCTCAACCTTCCTAATGCCACAATCCCTAATGCCACAACACCTCGTGTTGTGATGACCCCCAACCATAACATTATTTTTGTGGCTTCTTTATAACTGTAATTTTTCTACTGTTATGAATCGTCATGTAAATCTCTGATATGCAGGATGTATATCCAACCTCCTGCCATAAGGGAAAAGCACAATCAAGGCACTCCTGTCAGGTGGCCAGTCAGCCTTTGCAGGCTGAACGTCGTGTTGTTCTCGCTGCTGCTGCTTTGGCAGAGGAGGAAGGAGAGGAAGAGGAGGACAGTGGGTCCCTCCCCCACCTGCCCACCAGCCACCAGGAGCGGCAGAAGCAGCATTGTTGGAGACGCAGCAGCCGCCTTTCTCCTCTCGCCTTCCTTTCCTCCTCCTCCTCTCCTCCTCTCCTTCCAGAACCACTGACGATTGGAAACAGTGGCTAAGGCTTTTGGGAAGTGGAGTCCCACATTCAAGTTGGGGGCTCATTACTGAGCATGCGCGGCAGTCTCAGAAAGCGCTCCACCTCGTTTGGCGTTCTTCCCTGGAGAAGGTTCACTGCTGGTTCACCATTGGTTCTCCAAAGAGCCAATGCCGGCTCTCCTCGGAGCCGCGAGGGAACGGAGAGGTGATGACCCCGCCCACCAGAGCGAGTGGTGATGCCCCTAAAGTTTGCGTTCGGACATTCGACGCTCCTTCCAGCAGGGGCAGCGGGGCAGGCTGTTTTTGTTGATTTGCTTCTTCCTCTTCTTCAATGGCTCAAAGGCTCCTCCGCCTCCTTCTCCAGCTGAAGCAATGGTGGACTTTCGGTGCATGTCAGTAGAAATGACTACGCGTGTCACTACTGACACGCACACGGGTGTCATAGGTTCGCCATCACGGTCCTAGGACAATGAATTGCTTTTGCAAAATAACCTCTACTTGCTTCCCTGGTTTTCCCCATAACACCTTTTGCCATCTTGATCACGCTCTGGTAATGTTTGCCCATGGTTCTCATCTGTGAGACGCTGGAGGCTATAAAGCAGTGTTTCTCAACCTGGGGGTCGGGACCCCTGGAGGGGTCGCGAGGGGGTGTCAGAGGGGTCACCAAAGACCACCAGAAAACACAGTATTTTCTGTTGGTCATGGAGGTTCTGTGTGGGAAGTTTGGCCCAGTTCAATCGTTGGTAGGGTTCAGAATGCTCTTTGATTGTAGGTGAACTATAAATCCCAGCCACTACAACTCCCAAATGTCAAGGTCTATTTTCCCCAAACTCCGCCAGTGTTCATATTTGGGCATATTGAGAATTCATGCCAAGTTTGGTCCAGATCCATTATCGTTTGAGTCCACAGTGCTCTGTGGATGTAGGTGAACTACAACTCCCAAAACTCAAGGTTAATGACCACTAAACCCTTCCAGTATTTTTTGTTGGTCATGGGAGTTCTGTGTGCCAAGTTTGATTCAATTCCATTGTTGGTGGAATTCAGAATGCTCTTTGATTGTAGGTGAACTATAAATCCCGGCAACTACAACTCCCACAGGACAAAATCAATCCCCTCCCCCAATCCCACCAGTATTCAAATTTGGGCTTATTGGGTATTTGTGCCAAATTTGGTCCAGTGTATGAAAATACATCCTGCATATCAGATATTTACATTACTATTCATAACAGCAGCAAAATGACAGTTATGAAGTAGCAATGAAACTAATTTTATGGTTGGGGGTCACCATAACATGAGGAAGCGTATTAAGGGGTCGTGGCATTAGGAAGGTTGAGAACCACTGCTATAAAGGATCACTCCTAGTAAAACTTCACAATGTTATATCCCCTCTCCCAAACAAACCTGCTTCTGCAGTCGCTCCTGCTCTTCCTGCTCGGCCTGTGCCCGCTCCTGGGCCTCGCGCTCCTCCTCTCGCGCTTTCTCCTCCTGCTGCTGCCGCCGCTCTTCTTCCAACCTGGCCAGTTCGGCTTGTTGCTGGAGGCGTTCTTTGGCTTCTTGTTGGGCCCGCTCTTCAGCCAGGCGCCTGCCAGGGAACAAATGTCACTGTTACTCAACTTGTATCAGCCCAACACAGACAGGACTCTCCCACTGGGAACAAGAACGACAACGGAGGTGGTGGTGGAAGGGGAACGAAGGGAAAGGTCTACAATTGCCCGCATTCACGGTTTTGACTTTTTAAAGTGTATTCTAGGAATCTCTAAATCCTCCAGTGTGAAACTGTGGTTGACTTTCTCCATTCATACTGGAGGATTTAAAAATTCTAGTTCTGTAGTATTATAGTAGGCAAATGTGTTAGTTTCTGTATTTTGGGTTATGTAGTAGATTTCCAAAATGTGATTTAATGCTGTAAACATGTGTATGTAATAATGTTCAGAAGTGATGGTGTTAAGGAACCACTGAACTATGTATGAATCCTAGAAAGGTATATTTGTGTCTGTTAGTTCCTGCTTTCTGTATGTGACGTATGATGCCTTGTATGGAATGTGGAAATCAGAAGACGCTTCCTTCTTGGGAGGAGAGCAATGTCCAGTCTCGATAAAATAGTAAAGAGTAGAGACATCAGACTGGCAACAAAGACCCGCCTAGTCAAAGCCATGGTATTCCCTGTAGTAACCTACGGATGTGAGAGCTGGACTTTAGGGAAGGCTGAGCGAAGGAAGATCAATGCTTTTGAGCTGTGGTGTTGGAGGAAAGTTCTGAGAGTGCCTTGGACTGCGAGAAGATCCAACCAGTCCATCCTCCAGGAAATAAAGCCCGACTGCTCACTGGAAGGAAGGATACTAGAGACAAAGTTGAAGTACTTTGGCCACATCATGAGGAGACAGGAAAGCCTAGAGAAGACTATGCTGGGGAAAGTGGAAGGCAAAAGGAAGAGGGGCCGACCAAGGGCAAGATGGATGGATGGCATCCTTGAAGTGACTGGACTGACCTTGAAGGAGCTGGGGGGGGTGACGGCCGACAGGGAGCTCTGGCGTGGGCTGGTCCATGAGGTCATGAAGAGTCGGAGACGACTGAATGAATGAACAACAACAACATGGAATGTGGAGTAGGCGTGTTCTACTGAGTGTGAAGAAGAAGCCGAGTAGCCATTGCTGAGTTATCTTTTGCCGCAGGCAGACGCTACCATGCAACTCTGCTATGTATATAGTCTGTAAATAAAGCTAATTGGTTTATTGCTATATGGCTGTGTTGGAGCGGTTTTATCACCTCGTCAAAAACAACAACAAAATGCAGGTGGTGAGCTGGATTGAGATTCCTGGTTCTGACCTTGAAACCCATTAATGTATTTATTTAGATGGTTTACACCCTATTTTCCAGTCACAAATTCTCTCAAACCAAACATACCAATTGAATGTAACAAATGCCACAAGGTTAGAAACATGCTCAGCTTAAAGCAGGTCTATCCTAGATACGGGCAAACTTCGACCCTGCAGGTGTTTTGGACTTCAACTCCCACAATTTTGTGGGAGTTGAAGTCCAAAACACCTGGAGGGCCGAAGTTTGCCCATGTCTGGTCTAGCCAAGCTCTTCTTCCAAGGACTCACCGCATTTGCTCCTCCTGCTCCCGGCGCTCTTGCTCTTCCCGCTCCCTCTGCTCCCGTGCCTGGCGCCGTTTCTCAGCCAGGAGCCGCGCAGCTTCCTCTCGGTCCGTGGTGCCCGCCATGGGCTTCCCAGGAGTTGTGGGCTGAGATGCTGGCACTGGGCTGGCTGCGCTGGAGGGTCTGGCGGTGTCTGGAGAACCCCAAGCAAAGACTGGGTCACCTCACCAAGATGAGGAGAAAGCAACCACACTTCATGTGGACCTCACTTTCAGAATGGCATTGCAGGATGTGAAATCTTTTCTATTTTGTGGCTTATTAGAGATCACTTCCTTCTCGGCACATACCCCAACATTCCCACCACCCTAGCCCTTAAGGTCCCACCTGGTACAGTTTCGCTGCCCACTGTAACCTTGGGGGTCTCGCCTGGGGCTGGGGAGGCCGTCCTCCGTTCCTTCTGCTCATCCTTGCGGACTTTGGGCTGGTTGTCATGATCCTTGCGGGGCCGCGCCTTTGGCGAGGACTGGGCGCTGCGGATCAGACTTGGCCGATGTGGAGAACTGGGACCCGTGCTCGGCGAGGATGGGCGCTGCTTGGCAATGGCTGGAGACGATGGCCTGGGCTTGGGGCCAGGGCTATCAGGGAACATACACACAGATATAAACATGAGATTGGCTGGACCTGACTGGCTTACTCAGGCATCTCCAAACTTTGGCCCTCCGGATGTTTTGGCCTCCAGTTTTCAAAAGTCTTAGCCAGCTTTTTCAATGGTCAGGAATGTTACAGTAAGTTGTAGCAGGATCAAGTGTGTGTTAAAGAAAAACTTTATGATGTTAATTATTATGTGCAGCTGGAAATGTAGGTTAGTCAGCATGTTTGGGCCACATCCGGTGGGGTATAACTGTATGGGTATAACTGTATGGATTTTAGACTACAGTTTGGAGAAGCAATACGCTACTCTGAGGAAGAGAAGCAATATGCTGTAATGCTGCTATGCTCTAACAGCAATCCTCTTTGCTATAGTGGAATAGCCATTTACTGAAGGTTTATATTTTGCTCTCTCATTTGAATAAATTATGTTTTGCTCTCTCATTTGGTATATGTTTTGCTCTCTCATTACTGGAAGCTGGAGGCCCAAACGGCTGGAGGGGTGGAATTGGTGACAAGGTCACCAATAATCCAATTAAGTCATTGGCATCCACTTGAATTTGGTTTCAGGATCTTCTAAAAGTACCAAAATTTATGGATGCTCAAGTCTTACTATATCTAACTAGCTGTCCCCTGCTATGCGTTGCTGTGGCCCAGTCTGTGTATATGTGTTTTGTCTGTGTATATATGTTTATATTTGTGTTTGCGTATATATGTGTGGTTTTGTGCATGCGTTGTAATGTATTTTGTTTGTTGATTTTTTTCAGTCTTTTCTGCTGTGTTTTTTCAGTGTTTTTATGAGTGATGGTCACTCATTGGCTGGATAAGGTGTATTATGTCCAAATTTGGGGTCAATTCGTCAAGTGGTTTCTGAGTTACGTTAATCCCACAAACAAACATTACATTTCTATTTATATAGATAACATAGCAAAATAAGGTAAAGGTAAAGGTTTCCCCTGACGTTAAGTCTAGTCATGTCTGACTCTGGGGATTGGTGCTCATCTCCATTTCTAAGTCGAAGAGCTGGCGTTGTCCGTAGATACCTCCAATGTCATGTGGCTGGCATGACTGCATGGAACAGAATTACCTTCCTGTTGGAGCGGTACCTATTGATCTACTCACATTTGCATGTTTTCAAACTGCTAGGCTGGCAGAAGCTGGGGCTAACAGCAAAAGCTCACCCCGCTCCACGGATTCGAACTGTCAACAAGTTCAGTCAGCAAGTTCGGCAGCTCAGCTGAACTGCACCACCAGGGGGTTGCAGTAAAATAGTATTATTTATTTATTTACTATACTTGTATACCGCCTTTCTCAGCCAAGCGGCAACCCAAACCGCTTTACAACAAGTCAGTACACATGATAGCAAAATACAGATTAAGCATTGAAAGAATATAACAGTATAAAACCACAATAGAAACAATAAAATCACATAAATTATCATCGGCGTCTCCTAGTTAAAAACGTCCAAATTCCATTCTCAAGTGATTCCATTTCCTATATGAGTTACTCTGCATTCGTAAACCCTTGCTCATATAACCATGTCTTAACTTGCCTCCGAAATGTTAAGAGTGAGGGAGCCGATCTAATCTTCTTAGGGAGGGCATTCCATAGCCGAGGGGCCATCACAGAGAAGGCCCTGTCTCTCGTCCCTACCAAATGTACTTGTGATGAAGGTGGGATCGAGAACAGGGCCTCCCCGGATGATCTTAGTCCTAGATGGTTCATAAGGGGAGATGCATTCAGACAGGTAAATTGGGCCAGAACCGTTTAGGACTTTATAGGCTACAGCCAGCATTTGAATTGTGCCCGGTAGCAGACTGGCAGCCAGTGGATCTGGCGCAGCAGGGGAGTTGTATGCTCCCTGAGCGCTGCTCCTGTTAACGATCTGGCTGCCGTCCGTTGGACCATTTGAAGCTTCCGGACAGTCTTCAGAGGCAACCCCACGTAGAGCACATTGCAGTAGTCTATACGGGGTGTAACCAGAGCGTGGACTACCGTGGCCAAGTCAGGCTTCTATTGTATTACTTATATAAAATGCCAAAATCAGTGCTTACCTTTTGGATGCACACACACACACACATTCAAGCCGTGGATGGTTAAATCTGTGCGCATGGAGGGCCAACTGTACAAACAATGGTTCATAAAATATTCTGGAATCGTGTGCAGTCTATGTTTTAAATGTAATTGCTAGGACGAACGCACAATGTGTAATTATAGTAGTTTTAATTGTCTTGGCTCCCGTCTAAGGCATCCTAGGATGTGTAATGTCATGAGGTATAGTCAGCCCTCCACATTTGCGGGTTTAACTTGTGCAGGTTTAATTATTTACCAATTTGATTAATATGTTCCCTCTAGGAAAGTCTAGGTTTTCCAGGGTGACTCTGTAGTCAACTTCTGCCAGAAACAGACCACAGAATCACACTGGTGGATGGAGAGATTCCTAGAGAAAACACTTTTCTAAGCATCTGTAGTTCCTCGAGTGCGATTTGATAGCAGAAATGGACCATAGATTTGCCCTAAACTCCAGTGAATGTGGAGGGCTGACAGTATTCAGAATTTTCTGCTTGAGAGACTGACTCGAAGGGGTGGTCCAAGATCCCAAGCCAGGATGGGGCAACAGAAAGCATCTCTTGTTTGCCTCATGTCTTTTACCTGCTCTCCGGCGTGTGCAGCTTTCGAGTCTGGCCCGAAGGCACAGACTGGCGTTTGCGTAGGGCAAGGGCGCTTTTCTCCTGGGCATTTTCCCGGTCTTTGTCCTTCTTCTCTTTCTTTTTCTGAGAATGCAAGATGAAAGCGGATTGGCACAAAAAACGGAAGAGAAACAGCGGTCAGACTCAGACAGATCGGTAAAAACGGGGATGACTAAGAATTGTTTGCCAGGCCAGATAGTTACTGAATCATAGAATTGGGAGAGACCCCCAAGGGATCCAGTCCAACCCCATTGCTACCGACAGAAAGACATAATCAAAGCTCTCCCAAAAGATGATCATTTAGCCTCTGTTTAAACATTGCCAGAGGAAGAGATGCCACCAGACTCAGAGGCAGCATTCTATCCCAATCTCAAACACAATTACAACCAGGAAGTTCTTCCTAAAGTTTAGGTGGATTCTCTTTTTCTAGAGTTTGAATCCATTGCTCCAAGTCTTAGTCTTTGGAGCAGGAGAAAACAAGCTGGCTCCCTATTCAAGGTAACAGCCTTTCAAATATTTCAACATGGCTGTCATGTCCCCTCTTAAGCTTTTCTTCTCCAGGCTAAGCATACCTCAGCCACTCCTCGTAGGGATTCATGGCTTCCAGACCTTAACAACAACAACAACAACAACACTTTATTTATATTCCGCCCTATCTTCCCAAGGAGATAGACAGGACAAAGACAGACAGAACAGAAAGGAGGTATTCTGTGTCGACATCCAGTTTTTTGGTGCCTTGGGAGGTTGTGCTTGAATCCAGCCACAGGGGGGTGCTGTTGCTCCATCCTCTATGACAGTGGTTCTCAAACTGGGGGTCACGGCCCCCAGGGGGGTTGCTGGCCCATTTTCTGGGGGTTGTGAAGGCACCTCGGTTGGCCCTGCCCCCTCCCCCTCCTCCAAATGGATGCCGGCTTTCCAGGTCAGCTCCTCCACTTTGTCAGCTCCTCCACCGGCCGGCAGGGACGCAAGTCAGGCGAGGGCTGCTTCGCACGAGGCCTCCCTCGCCTCGATTGCGCTCCCACTGTCTGGCAGGAACGTGGGTCAGGCGAGGGCCGCTTCGCGCATGGCCCTGCCTTGTGCGAGGCTTCCTTCGCCTCGATTGTGCTCCCGCCGGCCTCGCGGTCAGGCGAGGGCCGCTTCGCGCATGGCCCTGCCTTGCGTGAGGCCTCCCTCGCCTCTATCGCTCTCCTGTCGGCCGACAGCAAGAGGCTCCATGTAAGGCCAGGCTGCGTGGGGGATCCTCCTGTGCTCGGCTCTCACCGCCTGCCAGGCTTGCCGGAGGCATGAGTCTCCCTGCCAGATCTAGGCCCAGACTCCAAAATGCACCAAGCAACAGCACCTCCAAAATGTCAAAGTATGTATATTTTCCCCAAACTTCTCCAATATTTTATGTTGGTCATGGGAGTTCTGTATGCCAGGTTTGGATCAATTCCATGATTGTCGGAGTTCTGAATGTTCTTTAATGACAGGGGAACTATATTCCCAAGCAACTGCAACTCCCAAATGTTAGGGTCTATTTTCCCCAAATGTCTCCAGTATTTTCTGTTGGTCATGGGAGTCTTGTATGCCAAGTTTAGTCCAATTCAATTGTTGGTGAAGTTCAGAATGCTCTTTGATGGCAGGTGAACTATACATCCAAGCAACTGCAACTCCCAAATGTCAGGGTCTATTTCCCCCAAACTCCACCAGTGTTCAAATTCGGGCATATTGAGTATTTGTGCCACGTTTGGTCCAGATCCATAGTTGTTTGGGTTCATAATACTCTCCAGATGTAGGTGAACTACATCTCCCCTAAATCACTGTCAATTCCTCCCAAACCCCTCCAGTATTTTTTGTTTGACATGGGAGTTCTGTGTGGAGGTCTCAGTGGTCTATGGAAGTCAGAGCTGAATTGGTTGAAGGTACTGCAAATCTCATCATGTTTTCCATACTCCCCCACACATATATTTTCTGATTAATCACAATGCTTTAAGTATGTTGAATTTGTAACAATGAAAACACATCCTGCATATCACATATTTACATTACGATTCGTAACAGTAGCAAAATTACTGTTATAAAGGAGCAACGAAAATAATTTTATGGTTGGGGCTCACCACAACACGAGGAAGCATATTTAGGGGTCACAGTGTTAGAAAGGTTGAGAACCACTGCTCTATGACAAAGAGCAATCAGGAATTCCTCCTTCCTTTTGGTCACCGGGCATTTTCTGATCTTTTTCTTTATGGTGTTGTAAAATACCTCCCCGCTTGTTTTAGCGGTATCTAATTTCTCTACTTACAACTTCAGCTGTTTTGAACTGCTTAGGTAAGTAGTAATCTGGGCTGACAGTCAGGAGCTCACACCGACCCAGGGCTTCGAACTGACAACCTTTCAGTTGGTTGATCTTATCATTCCTGGTGATTTATCAGCTGTGCTAAAGCCTGGCCCCAGAACTTGTTGCAGATCTTGGGACATTTACTTCTTTTTTTAAACTACAACATCTGAAACCCACCAGTCAACATACAATAGTCAATGACCTTGCTAGTCATGGGATTCTGGAACTCTGCAGTCCAAAAACAATCAATACCATGGATTCCAAACCTGATCCACATGGAATTCAGCTGTAACTACTCAACTCTTTGAATTCAGCTCTCTGTATCTGTCTGGGTATAGGTAATAGGTAACTAACCCTATTCTGCATGGTAAGGATCATCATCGTCATCATCATCACCATCATCATATCTCAAACACAAGAACATGGATATGCATTAGGTCATCCAGATATTGTTGGATTCTAATTCCCAGCATTTCTCACTAAATGGAGGGGTATAATAAACCCATGCCCATTTTAGAGAAACTTTGTTGGGAATATACTACTGTCCTGGATTGCAACAGCTTAAAGAATGGCTGGCATTTTCTTTCTCAAGATATTTTACAGACTGAGGCAGCTATAGCTCCCCAGTTAAGATACACTGCACCTAAATCTAGCCAGGTTATTTTGGGATAGAAACGTCGGGATATCCTACACAGAATCATAGAATCAAAGAGTTGGAAGAGACCTCATGGGGCATCCAGTCCAACCCCCTGCCAAGAAGCAGGGATATTGCATTCAAATCACTCCTGACAGATGGCCATCCAGCCTCTGTTTAAAAGCTTCCAAAGAAGGAGCCTCCACCACACTCTGGGGCAGAGAGTTCCACTGCTGAATGGCTCTGACAGTCAGGAAGTTCTTCCTCGTGTTCAGATGGAATCTCCTTACTTGTAGTTTGAAGCCATTGTTCTGCGTCCTAGTCTCCAGGGAAGCAGAAAACAAGCTTGCTCCCTCCCTGTGGCTTCCTCTCACATATTTATACATGGCTATCATATCTCCTCTCAGCCTTCTCTTCTTCAGGCTAAACATGCCCAGCTCCTTAAGCCGCTCCTCATAGGGCTTGTTCTCCAGACCCTTGCTCATTTTAGTCGCCCTCCTCTGGACACATTCCAGCTTGTCAATATCTCTCTTGAATTGTGGTGCCCAGAATTGGACACAATATTCCAGGTGTGGTCTAACCAAAGCGGAATAGAGGGGTAGCATGACTTCCCTATAGACACTATGCTCCTATTGATGCAGGCCAAAATCCCATTGGCTTTTTTTGCCGCCACATCACATTGTTGGCTCATGTTTAACTTGTTGTCCACGAGGACTCCAAGATCTTTTTCACACGTACTGCTCTCGAGCCAGGCATCGTCCCCCATTCTGTATCTCTGCATTTCGTTTTTCCTGCCAAAGTGGAGTATCTTGCATTTGTCACTGTTGAACTTCATTTTGTTAGTTTTGGCCCATCTCTCTAATCTGTCAAGATGGTTTTGAATCCTGCTCCTGTCCTCTAGAGTATTGGCTGTCCCTCCCAATTTGGTGTCGTCTGCAAACTTGATGATCATGCCTTCTAGCCTTTCATCTAAGTCATTAATACAGATGTCGAACAGGACCGGGCCCACGACGGAAGCCTGCGGCACTCCACTTATCACTTCTTTCCAAGATGAAGAGGAAGCATACACCTCTTGGCTTCCATGTCAATAGAAGTTCATTAGTAACCAAATAAATAGTTTTTAATTACAAAAATGTGAGTCAAGCACTGAAAGGGTTAAATAGATACGACTCAGCAAAAGCTGCAGTTCAATATAAGCCGGTGTGCCTATAACAACCCTCAGTCTGGGAGAGGCCTCAGTGGGAGGAAGGCCTCAGTGTTAGTTCGCCTCAGTCTGGGAGAGGCCTCAGTGGGAGAAAGGCCTCAGTGTGTTAGTAGGCCTCAGTTTGAGAGGGACTGATGAGAGAAGCATCAGTCAGAGAAGTCCCAGGTGGAAGGCCATTGTGTGTAAAGCTCCAGTGTGAAGGCTGTTGTGTGTGAAGGAAATGTTGCTGTTATTGGGGAGTGAAGAAGAAAGGAACTTACAGGGGAAGCCGCAGCCTTGCGCCGGGGCGTCACATCAGGACTGCTGGTGGCCGGCCGCCGTCGCTCCGAGCAGCGATGGTGCATCCGGTGGTTGTTGCAAGGGCTGAGTGGGCTGGCAGAGGCAGAGCGGGGACACACCGGCACAACTGTGGAGGTAATGGGGAGTGAGGGACAGTCAGCTGACCCAAGGCTAAGAGCAAAAGGAATCAAGTCTGGGAATGGAACCCAACATGAGTTGTATGTGGTATAGAGATTGTGTTATTTCTGCTCACGACCTTACAAACATCATTCTGATCATGGTAGATAGACCACAACCTCGATTCAGGGTAGCAGGACTCATTCAAAAACTGATGGGGGATCTTGAGAATTCTAGGGTGCATTTACACAGGTGTGTCAAAATCATTTTCATGGAGGGCCACATCCACCTTATGGTTGCCTTCAAAATCCATGGATACAGAGAACGAACTATAATTTTTTACACAGTGGTTTGTGCTCTTTAGTTTTTGTCCCATTTGGGTCCCCGGATGGCTTTGAACAATAAGTTCCATTACTTTTGATTATCCCCTATGTCAGGCATGGGCAAACTTTCTAACTTGGGGGCTGCATGCTAGCGCTCCCTCTCAGGAGGACTGGCTGCCTGACAAAGAAAGGAAGGAAAGGGGGAAGGAAGGAAGGACGAAAGGGAGGAAGGGAACAATGAAAGAAGAAAGAGGGAGAGGGAAGGAGGGAGGAAAGAGGGAAAGAAGAATAAAAGGATGGAAGGGAAGGATGGAAGGAGAAAGAGGGAGAGAGGGAGGAAAGAGGAAGAAAGGAAAGACAAAAGGGAAGGAAGGAAGAATGAAAGGGTGGAAGGGAAGGATGGAAGGAAAGGAGAAAGGAAAGAGAAAAGGAAGAAAGAGCAAAAGGGAAGAATGGAAGGAGAAAGAGGAAGAGAGGGAAGAAAGAGGGAAAGAAGAAAAGGGGAAGGGAAGGATGGAAGGAGAAAGAGGGAGAGAGGGAGGAAAGAGGGAAGGAAGGAAAGATAAAAGGGAAGGAAGGAAGAATGAGAGGGTGGAAGGGAAGGGTGGAAGGAAAGGAGGAAGGAAAGAGAAAAGGAAGAAAAAGCAAAAGGGAGGAAGGGAAGAATGGAAGGAGAAAGAGGAAGAGGGAAGGAGGGAGGAAAGAGGGAAAGAAGAACAAAAGGGTGGAAGGGAAAGATGGAAGGAGAAAGAGGGAGAGAGGGGAAGGGAGGAAAGAGAGAAGGAAGGAAAGACAAAAGGGAGGAAGGGAAAGAAAGGGTGGAAGGAAGGATGGAAGGAAAAAGGAGGAGGAAGGAAAGAGAAAAGGAAGAAAGAGCAAAAGGGAGGAAGGGAAAGAATGGAAGGAGAAAGAGGAAGAGAGGGAAGGAGGGAGAAAGATAGAAGGAAGGAAAGACAAAAGGGAAGGAAGGGAAGGATGGAAGGAATGGAGGAAGGAAAGAAAGAAGGAAGGAAGGATGAAAGGGAGGAAGAAAAGGATGGAAGGAGAAAGAGGGAGAGAGGGAAGGAAAGACAAAAGGGATGGACAGACGGATGAATGGAAGGACGGAAGGAAGGAAGGAAGGAAGGAAGGAAGGAAGGAAGGAAGGAAGGAAGGGAGAGATATGGTAAGAGGGAGGAAAGAGGGAAGGAAGGAAGGACAAAAGGGTGGAAGGGAAGGATGGAAGGAAGGAAGGGAAGGATAAAGGAAAGAGAGAAGAAAGGAAAGACAAAAGAGAATGAAGGAAGGAGAAAGTGGGGGAGGGAGGTATGAAACAGAGAGGGAAGGAATGACAAAAGGGGAAAAATGGAGGGATGACAGAGAGAAGGAAGGAAAGACAAAAGTGAGGGAAGGATGGAAGGGAAGGAGGGAGGAAAGAGGAAAGAAGGTCAAAAGGGTGGGAGGGAAGGAGGAACGAAAGAAAGAAGGATAGGATGGTGAGAGAGAGGAGGGCCTGAGAAAAGAGCCCAAGGGGCTGCATCCGGTCTCCGGGCCTGAGTTTGCCCATATCTGCCCTATGCGGATAATGGGAATTGCAACCCAATAGACCTTGTGACTCTGAGGTTGGGGAAAGAAAGGTTAAAGGACATTTTAAAGTCATATCTACACATCTTGTCTTTAAATTTAAATCCTACTCTCTGACTGAACAAAACAAACTGCAGCCTTCCAGATGTTACTGTATTACAACTCCCATTTGCTCTAGTTATGATGTCTAATGATGAGGAATACTGGAGTTGTAGTCCAGCATCCAGAGGGCCACACAAAGTACATGATGGGCCAAATCAGCCTGCGGGCCATGAGTGCCACACATGCAATCTACACTATATATTTAATGTCGTTTGACACCACTGTAACTGTGCATGGCTCGATGCTATGAAACCCCACATAGTTTGATAAGACCCTCTTTAGCAGAGAAGGTAAAAGACACTATAAAGCAGGGGTCCCCAAACTAAGGCCCAGGGGCCGAATGCGGCCCTCTAAGGTCATTTACCTAGCCCTCACTCAGGGTCAACCTAAGTCTGAAACGACTTGAAAGCACACAACAACAACAACAACAACAACAACAACCCTATCTCATCAGCCAAAAGCAGGCCACACTTCCCATTGAAATACTAATAAGTTTATATTTGTTTAAATTGTGCTTCATTTTAATTATTGTATTGTTTTTAAGTGTTTTTTGCACTACATATACGATGTGTGCAGTGTGCATAGGAATTCATTCATGGTTTTTTTCAAATTATAATCCGGCCCTCCAACAGTTTGAGGGCCCTCTGTTTAAAAAGTTTGAGGACCCCTGCTATAAAACAACCACACTCCCATGATTGTATAGCATTGAGCCATGACAGTTAAAGTGGTGTCGAGCTGCATGAATTCGACAGTGTAGATGCACTGTGAGAACTGAAATTAAATATAAAATCCCTTCATATGCATAATCATAATAACAAAAAGGTATAGAGGTATAAACAGAAGAAATTTGGATTAAAATTATCAATCAAGATAGTGTTGACTTGACTTGGGGCCCCTTCACACTAGGTAGCTGGAGTGCTATGATACTACTTCAACTGCCACGGCATCCTGGGATTGGCAGTTTAACCAGAGAGTTCTAGGGCCTCACTACACTGCAATTCCCAGGCTCCCATAGAATATTGCCTTCGCAGTGAAAGTGAGATACAGTGAATGGGTACACGATTGGGACAACGCTTCAACTTAAACTCAATCCAGCCCCTGCCTACCTTGGTCTTTGCCATTCCCGGCGAGCGTCACGGCACTCCGGCTTCGTGCCAAAAAGGAGAGTGTTGGGGTCATCAGCCGGTCCACGATGCTGCTCTCCCAGGGGCTGAGCTGCAGGCTGCGGTCTGGCGGAAGGAAAGACAGGTGAGGAAGGTGTACTTAAGCCAAGATTCGTCTTAGTTTCAACCCTCGCCAGCATACAATCTCTCAGCAAGGAGGAGCCGTAACATTGCTTGAACAAAGATTAGAATATCTGGAACCGTATCACTTAGGGCAAGGGTGTCAAACTCATTTTCAATGAGGGTCACGTCAGCCTTATGGTTGCCTTCAAAGAACCGTTTGTAATTGTAAGAATGTATAAATGTAACGACTTTGTGTTGTTGAAGGCTTTCATGCCCAAAATCACTGGGTTATTGTGAGTTTTCTGAGCTGTTATGGCCATGTTCCAGAAGCATTCTCTCCTGACGTTTCTCCTGCAACTATGGCAGGCACTCTCTGAGGTTGTGAGGTCGGCTGGAGACTAGGAAAATGGAGTTTATGTATCTTCGGAATGTCCAGGGTGGGAGAAAGAATTCTTGCCTGTTGGAGGTAGGTGTGAATGTTTCAATTGGCCACCTTGATTAGCAATGAATGGCCTAGCTGTTTTCAAGGTGTGACATCTTACTGCCTGGGGGAATCCTTTGTTGGCAAGTGATTAGTTGGCCCTTACTGTTTCTTGTTTGGAAATCCCCTGTTTTAGAGTTTTTTATTCACTTCCCAACAAAGGATTCCCCCAGGAAGTAAGAAACCACACCTTGAAACGGCTAGGCCATTAAATGTTAATCAAGCTGGCCAATTAAACATTCACACCTACCTCCAACAGTGTTCTTTCTCCCACCCTGTACATTCCACATTAATATTTTTGTAGTTTCCAACAGACCTCACAATCTCTGAGGATGCTTGCCATAGATGCAGGTGAAACATCAGGAGAGAATGCTTCTCGAACATGGCTATACAGCCTGAAAACTCACAATAACCCAGTGTTTTGGGGCATGAAAGCCTTCAACAACACAAAATAATTACATTTATACATTTATACAGCCTGAAAATACACAACAACCCAGTAACTATCTTGCCCTGGATTTGAAACCATTGTGGACCACATACAATGATGTTGCGGATTGGATTTGGCCCTCAGGTCTTTTGTTTGATGCATGTGACTTAGGGAAATGGTTGGGAGTAATGTTGAGACAGGATAAATATTGTGCAAATATTACACACTGTCTGAAATTCTGTTGGGTTAGTCTCAACTAGAGTAGACCTGTTGAATCAACTGTGATATGGTGAGTCAACATATCCCATTGATTAATTGAGTCTATTCTAGTCTGGACAAGATGCAGGATTTTTGAGGCCAATACTTGCAGAAAATTGAGATTGGGGAAGCTTTTTTTCCTGCAGTCAGCATTCCACATTTTGGAGGGTTAGAAGCACAGGACTCAAGTGAAACTGAAAAAACAGCAGTGATCATGCTGGAAGATCTACAAATGTTCAGAGAAGTATTCTGTCTATGAATCTCTAGATCCTCCGGTGAGACTCTATGGACACTGTCTGCCAGAAGTTGACCTTAGAATTGTACTGGAACACTTCAAGATTCTTAGAGAGGTGTTCTTTCCAAAATTCTCCAGGTCCACCAGCATAACTTAAGGAGGTTGAACATCAAGTCATACTGAAGGATCTAGAGCTGTGGTTCTCAACCTGTGGGTCCCCAGGTGTTTTGGCCTACAACTCCCAGAAATCCCATTCAGTTTCCTACCTGTTAAGATTTCTGGGAATTGAAGGTCAAAACATCTGGGGACCCACAGATTGAGAACCACTGATCTAGAGAGACTATTTTTTATCAAACCCATTTATGATCAGCTCTGCAAAAATCAAATTTGCAGATACAGAGGAGGGACAACGGTAACCATACCCAACCTCATTCACTCAAGCTGGGAGAAGCAGGCCAGATGAAAAGAAGAGCTTCTTCGCTCAATGCACAGTCAGATTGTGGGATTCATCATCATAAGAAGTAGTAGAACTGAACTGGGATTGGAAAAAAATTAAAGAAGAGGACCTTCCCCAGATCACTAAAAGGAGGCTGTCATACTTTGGACATATCATGAGATGATATGACTCATGGGAAAAGATGAATGCTCAGAAAAGTGGAAAGAAGTACGAAAAGAGGGAAATGTATAGATGGATTGGTTCAATCAAGGAAGCCGCAATCCTGAGTTTGTAACTCAAGAGAAGAGCAGTTGATAACTGGGGCTCTTGGAGGTCTCTCCATCATAGGGTTGGCTCGAGGGCAAATAAAAACAAAATAAAAGACAACCTTTGATGGCCACCAGTCATGATTTAGATATGGTAGTCCTTCCACTTTCACAAGGGTGAGGGGCCATACAGGAAGACTTACAAATGCTTAGATAAGTGTTCTGCTAGGAATCTCTAGGGCTCCTAGCCTGACTCGATGGCCAACGTCTGCTTGAAGTTGACCACAGAACTGCACAGGTGGACCTCCAATGCCTAGAGAAGTGTTCTCTCTAGGAATATCCAGGTCTTTCAGCATGTTCTAGAGCAGTGATTCTCAGCCTGTGGGTCCCCAGATGTTTTGGCCTTCAAGTCCCAGAAATTCTAACAGCTGGTAAACTGGCTGGGATATCTGGGAGTTGTAGGCCAAAACACCGGGGGACCTACAGGTTGAGAACCACTGTTCTAGAGTCAATTTCCAATGGGCTCCCAGCATGATTAGATGGCCAACGTCTGCTTGAAGTTGACCTCCAATGCCTATAGAAGTGTTCTCTCTAGGAATATCCAGGTCTTCCAGCATGTTCTAGAGTCAATTTCCAATGAGCTCCCAAGTACAACTCGATGACCAACATCTGCTTGAAGTTGACCACAGAACCGCACAGGTGGACCTCCAATGCCTAGATAAGTGTTCTCTGTAGGAATATCCAGGTCTTCTAGCATGTTCTAGAGTCAATTTCCAATGGGCTCCCAGCATGACTAGATCGCCAATGTCTGCTTGAAGTTGACCTCCAATGCCTATAGAAGTGTTCTCTCTAGGAATATCCAGGTCTTCCAGCATGTTCTAGAGTCAATTTCCAAAGGAGGTTGACCACAGAATAACAGTAGAGGATCTAGATATTCCTGGGGAGAACATATTAAATGAATCCCATGAAAAATCAAATCCTCAAGAGTACACATGTGGAGGGCTGACTGTATACTATCTCCAGGATCAAAGACACAAGATGGAGGAGACTCAGGCCCCATCTACACTGTCATATAATCCAGTTTCTGAATCCAGATTATATGCTTTGAACTGGATTATGTGGTGGTGTAGACTCATATAATCCACTTCAAAGCAGATCTGGATTCGGAAACTGGATTATATGGCAGTGTAGAAGGAGCCCCTGTCTCAGTGAAGGAACCAAAGTTAGAAAAAGCAGGAATATCCCCTCCCATTCGGGAAGGAGCAACACGTATTATGTCTTTTTGTTTATCTTTTGTAGTGGCCAATTTGGTAGAATGCAGAGGTGAGCTTAAGCCAATGAAAGTAGAAGATTTTATAGTATGACCAAATATGGGAACTTGACCTAGGCTAGAACTGTGACCTGAGATGTTTACAAAGAGATATAAAAACCCTTTGGGACATGTTTTGTCTGTGATGATACCGTACGCCTTCACAATTGTGAATAAAGAAATTTCTTTGAACTGTCTGAGACTGTTTTTGGGTGTGCCAGGACAAGCTGAGAACCCAGGGCAGTGACGGATGGTCTCAAGGGCAATAAACCCACCACTTCTTCAGTCGGCTACTGTGTGGACTAGAATCTTGGACCAGAAAGGGCTTTAGGCTGCCTTTCTAATGTTCTTATGAGTTCCAGAGTTATATTGTCCTCAAAAACAAAATACTGTAGTAACAAAGCCTGCTTTCTGCCATGCATTTTGACTTCTAGGTGTAGCTGAACTGAACAATGAGCAATACGAAGGCCAAAAAGAGACAGGTCTTGTCTTCCATCTCAAACAGGAGATATTTATTGCTCAAAGGGTTAGATTCAAGCAGATTCCTAGGACAGAAGTGAACAATATCACAAACCGGACTGACACAAAGCCCCCTGGAATGAGCGTTTGTATTGCACAATGGACACAGGGGTGAGCATTTCTCATGCCAAAAGAGGGAGGGAGAGGATCAAGCAAAAGGCATGGTCCAAACATGCCCCCCAAAAAACGATTCCCATCTTTTTTGTAATTTATCAGAACTCAAAAACCTATTTTAGAAAGAAACACTCATTTTCAAGTTAGGCAAATGAAATAAAGGGAGATTTTAATTCGTTTCAACAATGTCATCCTTATATTTAGCAAGATGGATTATACTGCCTTTATCATAAGTGGTGGTGCAATGAGTTAAACCAATGTTTCTCAACCTGGTTGTCGGGACCCCTGAGGGGGTCGTGAGGGGGTGTCAGAGGGATCGCCAAAGACCATCAGAAAACACAGTATTTTCCATTGCTTATGGGGGTTCTGTGTGGGAAGTTTGGCCCAATTCTATCACTGACGGTGTTCAGAATGAACTATAAATCCCAGAAACTATGACTCCCAAATGTCAAGGCCCGTTTTCCCCAAACCCCACCAGTGTTTACATTTTGGGCATATTGAATATTCATGCCAAGTTTGGTCCTGATCCATCAGTGTTTGAGTCCACAGTGCTCTCTGGATGTAGGTGAACTACAATTCCAAAACTCAAGGTTAATGCCCACCAAACACTTCCAGTATTTTCTTTTGGTCATGGGAATTCTGTTTGCCAATACTGGTTCAATTCCATTATTGGTGGAGTTCAGAATGGTCTTTGATTGTAGGTGAAGCATAAATCCCAGCAACTACAACTCTCAAATGACAAAATCAATCCCCTCCCAACCCTACCAGTATTCAAATTTGGGCATATGGGGTATTTGTGCCAAATTTGGTCCTGTGAATGAAAATACATTACATTACGATTCATAACAGTAGCAACATTATGTACAGTTATGAATTAGCAATGGAAATAATTTTATGGTTGGGGGTCACCACAAAATGAGAAACAGTATTAGGGGCTGTGTCATCAGGAAGGTTG